TCCTTCTCCAGGGACTGGTCCCTCCTGATAACATGTCCAAAGTATTTGAGATGAAGCCTTGCCATCCTTGCTTCTAAGGAGCATTATGGCTGTACTTCCAAGACAGATTTGTTCATTCTTCTGGCACTCCATGGTATATTTAATATTCTTCGCCAACACCACAATTCGAAGGCATCAATTCTTCTTTGGTCTCAGTTAGTCATTGTCCAGCTTTTGCATGCATACGAGGTGATTGAAAACACCATGGCTTGGGTCAGGTGCACCTTAGTCCTTAAAGTGGTATCTTTGCTTTTAAACACTTAAAGAGGTCTTTTGCAGCAGATTTGTCCGATGCAATGCACCATCTGATTTCTTGACGGCTGCTTCCCTGGGCGTTGAAAAATGGTACACATAGAAACTGTTGAATTGGTGTATGATTTGCTGTGTGCATTCTCAACAACAACAACAACAAAATAAAGTTTAAAAAAATACTTTCATAGTCCGGTGCAGTTTAAATAGCCCCACTGACTTTCCTGGGTAGAAAAGCTTCTCATCACTTATCTGGCTGCAGTGCTGTGAATTGCTATGTATAGAAAAGCCCCAGGGCACATTCAATCATGAAGCAGCCGCTGGGTGCTGCTGGGGGAAGGAAATACGCCCTGGTGACACAGAAATTTGCAGTTGCAGATTCAGAAGAGGCCCAATGACAAATCTCCCCACGCCCTTATGCAGAAGCCAAATAACCCCTCACATCTGACAGTTCTTACTGATAACAGAGCAGTGCAGCCAGCTCTCGAAACTTAGAGAAGCTTGTATAGATTGCTGAGTTCTGGATTCTAATCAAGCCTTCTGAAGGTGTGAAGAGATTTCCCAGAATTCCCCTAGGGCTATTGCTGTAAACTCATTTGGAATTCCCTAGAGTCTAAATCATAACTGGTTATAAATAAGTACAACAGCTTCGGAATGAAAATACCAAAGCAGTGGTAAACTTCATGATTTGTACTAAAATACGAACATCTTTTGTTTGTATCCCATTTTTGTTCCTCTTTGAAGCAAACTAAGCCTGGATATTTCTTCAGTGTAGAATTTGATGCTATATATAACATCAGTGGTAGCTCTCAACACAGATGACAGAGGAAAACTCTTGCAGCATAAAGACAACAAAAACGTTCAGAAATAAATAGTTTTTAATTAATTATTTCATATATTGTAGATCAAGTTTTATTGAGTACCCACTACTGCAAGGAATTTTGTTTACAGCAAGGAATAAACTGACAAACATAGCACGATTCTTTGCTTTTAGAAGCTGTGGCATAGAAGGAAAATAGCTACTTGCATAAACTCTGTCCCAGTGTATGAAGAAACAGGATTTGATAATTAATAATGGTAAAGAAAAGTAAAAAAAAAATGAATACTTTAAATCTGTGACAGAAAAAAAAAATAGTTGTATTGACGGAGAGACACTATAGACAGTGTAATAGAAAGAAGTGTTTTTGATATCTGAGTGCTGTGTTCAAATGAGTTCCATCACCTATTAGATGGATCAATTTAGGTAAACTAATCAAGTTCTCTGTAAATATAGATACAATTTGTATCTATTACACATAGATAATAATCTCCAAGTCTGTCATCCAAAGCACCTCATGAAGTGTCACGTGGTTTGCATTTAATATTTTTTTAATAGAATGCGGAGTAAAGTGGTGGGTTTTTTTGCTTGTTTTTGGTGAAGGCAAGGTAAGTAGTCTTGTTTTAGCCCTACTGAGTGTGCAGTAAAGGAGGGGTATCTGAGAAGAAATTGCAATGGGAAGATGACCTCCCAGGGAACAGTCCGGGGTTTAATGTCATTCATGCCACGGTGATGGTGAAAAGCATGAGAGCAGAGGAAAACTTCACAGAAGGGAATAAAGAGATGACAATTTAATTCTTAAGTAAGTCTACAATTAAGAGTCACAAGTAGTGAAAGGATGGCAAGAAGCTGGAGTCAGAGAGATAGAAAACAATGCTTCATGTTGCAAAAGTCAAGGACGAAGAACATCGCAAAAAAGACTTTTTGTGGTGTGTTGAAGCCAGCCCACACCAGCTTCCCAGAGCTGAATGTCTCTGTAGTCTGCCAACTTCCTGTTCAGTGAGATCACATTGGTAGTTTAAAATCATCTATGTTGGGAGTATTTACACCACTGTACAAATTGGCAGAAGCTATAACTCAGGGCTTTTCCCCCCATTGGAGAGCTGGTTGTTAAATATTTACCAGCGTTATAATTGAGGGCATCCCTCTTTCTCTTACCTCCCCCACTACCTCAAACATGAAGTACTGTGGAGATATGAAGGAGATCTGAGAAAAGCCAGGACTTTGGCAATTACTA